AGGATGCGGCCAGGAGTCCCCACGACAATATGCGGGCAGTTCTTCTTCAGTACCTCTTCGTCCTTCTTGATAGAGAGACCACCAAAAAATACTGCGACCTTGACATTGGGCATGTATTTAGAGAAGCGCTCATATTCTTTGCTTATCTGAAAAGCCAGCTCCTGAGTGTGACACATCACCAGCACAGACACCTGCCCAGTAACTGGTTCCAGCTGTTGCAGCGTGGCCAGCACAAACACCGCTGTCTTCCCCATGCCTGACTTAGCCTGGCACAGGACATCCATTCCCAGAATGGACTGAGGGATGCACTCATGCTGGACTTCTGATGGATGCTCAAAGCCACAGTCCACAATGGCCCGAAGCAACTCTGGCTTGAGCAGGAAATCGCGAAAGCCAGAGCTGTGGATGGAGACATAGGAGCCCTTGACATCCTTCTTGGCAGGGGCCTCAGCCCCATCTCCCCCAGCAGCTGTCTCCACCTCATCCTCTTCATAGTCCAAGAGCTCATTGTCTACATCATTCTCTGCCATAACTGGGCCAGCAAGGGGAGAAGGGGAGGGGGCTCTGGACAGGTTCTCCCAGTATAGGTAAAAACAAGGGAGAAGGAGTGGGAGGCTTTGAGGGACAGCAAAAGAAAATATACTAGATTCTGACAGAAGAGCTAAGTAGGGCGAGAGCGTATGGCGGCAGCAACGACGACGAAAGAGGGACACTTCCGGTTCCTGGCTTCCCTCTACCCTAGCCTCCCGCCTTCTCCAATTTCATACAGTTTCAAATGCCTTTTTTTTTGGTTAGGCAGGCCCAGGCTGGGTTTGAACCCACTCCACATCCCCACTGCATGGGGCCAGTGCTCTAACCATTGAGCATAGGCAACCAGCTGAGTTTCAAATACCTTGGTCAAAAAAATATATTCTGCATTTGACATACACTTTGCAAAAAAAGACCAATATGATTCACCTAATGGGTCAATCCAAATATAAATCGAACAAATTTATAATCCCCACTACTTTTAGAGTTTGAGATTGACAGGGAAATGGTGTGTCTTTGAAGCACCATAATCTCCATGATAGTGGGAAGGGGGGGGGGGCGCCAGCAATTCCTTTTCAAATATGAAGACTTTTTCTAACCACTGAACAACTCAGCTGCTACCAAATACCAGACTACTTTAAGATTTATTCTGACTCATTTCTTTACTGATTCTTCCTTACTAAATTAATGAAATGCGTAAGTAATTATTTTCATGAGTAAGAATATAAAAAAGGGCAAAGATAAGGATAAAAGTAGAACAGCCAGGTAAAAGAATTAACAGTAAATATAAAGGTCCTGGCAAAAAGAAGTAGATGATAACTGCTTGTTTTTCTTGGCAATGTCTATATATTTCTAGGGCTCTCAGGAAAACGTGTAACCTTAAATTCTTATTTAGGAAAAAAAACAACACATTTTCTGAATGATAATTTCAGATTAACAAACATCTGAACAAACCAAGGAAACAGTAAGCTAGTTTCAGTATTAAGCTGCATATTGGCAAAGTAATTATCTATAGTACTTGTATTAATATCATGAAATTTTTTAAAATTAATCCTCTTATCAAGTATCTATGTACCTGAGTATCTTTATTTAAAAATGGTAACTATTTAAACTTTATAGCATGATAAAAACATTAAAAACATATAGAAGTTCAACCATATTCAGATGAGAATCTCGTCATGATGCTGTTAACTTCTGTCCTATCATTTTTAGTTGCAGGACATTAATAAAAAAAGAAATGAACAGTCACACAACATAAAGGGATGAGAAAAACTTTCATTCCGTGTTACAGGACAAGCAATGCTATTATTGTATCAAGGGCACCAACAAACAACTAAATATTTCCAGAACAATTTTAAAGAAATAAATCCATCAACCTTATTAATGTGACAAAACAAATTGACAAAAATATTCATCCACAAAGGTGTTTTGAAGGAACACCCATTTACCTGAATCGTTTCGCAGATAAGAGGACATGGCTGGGATGAGGCAGGACTGACTGAGCAGCTCTAGCAGCACAGAGGGGAGGGCATTGCTGTTCTGTCCTCTGCTCTCAGGGGACGAATGAGTTTCTCCATTCACCACACCACTCACAGGATTTATGTAACTGGCAAGAACCTGAAGAGAAAAATTGTTGAAATTGAAGTAGATGTTAGCTTAACACACTTATATTTTGTGTTAGAATTCAATCTGAAAAGGAAATTACATATTTCCTATGTAATTAGTATCTCACACTGTGTTTCAAATATAAGACTTTGTTTAAATTTTCAAAAGAGAAGGCCCCGCTTGGCCTCAGAGTGCTGCTCACAGGGATGTACAGTATGTAGACTAGACAGACAGAAGCAATCCACCTAAAACATGAACTTAAAAACTCAGTAGCAACTCTAATAGTATGTACAATAGGATTTTACTGAATAAATTCAGTTCATCCTTCAAGGGTAATGAAACCTTAGAATTTTTTTCTCTTTCTGAGACAGGGTTTTGTGCTGTCACCCAGGGTAAAATGCAATGGAGCAATCAGCTCACTGCAACCTCGAACTCCTGGGCTCACGTGATTCTCTTGCCTCAGTCTATCAAGTAGTTGGGACTACAGGGCACACACCACCACTCTTGGCTAATATTTTAAATTTTGTACAGACAAGGTCTCACTATGTTGTTCTGGCTGGTCTCGAACTCCTGACCTCAAGCAATGTCCCTAGCCTCAGCCTCCCAAACTGCTGGGATTACAGGCAGCCACCGCATCCACCCACTCTTAGAACTTACATTAGAATAAGCATTACCGTCCTAGAATTCCAGAAGATAATGCTCAAAGACTTGACCAACTTTACTGAGTTGATGCAGGAACTAAGTCTAGTCTTTCTGTTAAGCATCTCTTTTCATTTCTGTGGTATACAGACATTTTAATACTAGTTCCATGAGGAACAAAAATGTAAATAAATACTTTTTTAATAAGACAGCCCAGGTACAACAAGTTAAGATGAGGTCACTGGAAGAAGGTATACATGTATATGTATTGGATACTTTTCTTT